CTGACCAACAACTATACCATTGAATGGTCAACTTTATATAACCGTTATTACGAAGAGATCAATAATGACCCAATCGACTTACTTGGACCTCATGTAGATGAAGTTGAAACCACCGACGATGATGATGATAATCAGAGTGAACAGGCTGATGATGATGAACAGGAAGAATTAAGATTAGATTGGATGTTATTGGCAGAAATGGGTCCAAATGCAGTCATAAATGATTCCTGCGATCTAGGAACTCGTAATATGGACCTTACTCATAGATGGGTTGATGATGCTCGACAATGCTACTCTGATACTGACCTCGCAAACGCCAACACTTTTATATGTCAAGCTTCTAGTGAAAATTATCAAACAAACAAAAATATAAATGTAAATACAGGTTTCATAAATCCTCAAACCCTAAATAATTATCAAATGAAAGTGTTTAAAAGAATTGAATCATATTATCGTAATGTGCTCACAGGCTGTCATGTTGAACCACTAAAAATCATAATATTAGGAACAGCAGGGACGGGTAAATCATATCTTGTTAATGTAATTCGATACACACTTCATCAAATAACAGAAATTGGGTCTAAATCACCAGTACTTGTGCTTGCTCCGACAGGTGCTGCAGCATTTAACATTAATGGTATGACGATCTATTCGGTCCTTTCAATCGCAATAAATGATGGCAATGATAACCTGGATATAAATGGAGAACGATTAAAACAGCTACAAAAGAGATTAGAAGGTGTAATCTATGTAATAGTAATTTTTAAATAGAAGAAAGTGATAAGATATCGGGGTTGCTTTTTTGAAGAATTTGGTTTAGTATTTCAGAAAAAGTTGCTGATTGCAGTTCTGCTTTGCTTGCATACTTTGAAATGTATTGTAGAGGGGCATAGGTGCTAAGAATTGGTTTGATGTCTACGTTTGCTCTCCAGCCCTGTAGTTGAAGTCGATTGTGTGGATTGATTAATGGATCATTTCTTGCTGTAATAACCTCTGGCCTACCATGTCCATCATCACGCAATATAGTATGATTAATAGTATCCATAGGATATCCAAATCTACAGGACTGTTGGCCTAACCGATTAACGCGAAGGCAGTATGAGGGACTACAACGCGTGTGTCGTTGTAGCTTGTTAACCAATTCTGTGTAATCTTGAAGATCATCCTTCAGTTCTTCACTACCTTTTTGACATGGGTGGCGTTCTGGAACAGGTGCATTAGGTTCAGGATTAA